TGTACATTATCTGGTTCATAAGTGCCATTACTTTGCTTCCAATAGTATGAGGGATGAACTCCTTTGTTGAAGGAGCACATGCTAAGATCCTTTCCGCAACAGTTTTTGATCCTTTGCCATTTATTAAGGGATCTTAGATCGCTGTCGTTGAATATCTTAGCCGCTCGTGACCTGTTACGATTATGCTACTTGGAATGAAGAATAATGAATATTTAAGTTAATTAAATATGTCATTAGAACCAGTAAATTTACGATTCTATCGGCCATAGCATTCAAAATGTATTTACCGAACGACAAATTGTGTACGGTTAATTACAAAATTTAGTTTGATGGCACCTTTTCTGTTTACCCGAATACTTGTCGCGGTCCTGTCCCAACAAAACTGGCAAAAGACAAAGGAGTTCATCCCTACACCAAATAAATGATTCATCCAGACTATCATGTACTTCCCATTAATTTCGCCGATGGCGCGACAATCTGGCGCTTCTAAGCTTTCACACGTAAATACATAATCAAAGCAGTAATCCAAGACAACGCGCCCTAATAAAAATCGAAAAAATTTAAAGGCGTTAGGGGGCTCCCTACAGAGTCAATAGGAAGAGTTATTTCTATATTATTGGTAGCTCGCGAAAATTGACGATATAATATCTTTGAGGTACTTGCTTGATTTGTTTTTAAACTGGACTTTGAGACTTCCAATCTTTGTTATCATACGAAAGTAAAATTGTTCCATAAATTTGCGAAAGTAATGTAGTAGTTACCCGCTCAATTTCGTATAACAATGTTGAAAGTTGCTAGGAAAACCCCTCATATTTAATTAAATGTAAATGAATCATTTACATGTATCGGGAAACAAAGTTGTATTAGACCGGCAACTATGTACAAGTCCGTTGACAGTAACAAAGTCAAAGTTAAATGAAATATTATACACTTGTCAGATACTCTTTAAGAGAGGATTGTGGAACCTGCACCACGTTAAAGCAGAAATTGTACGTGATTGCGATCTTTTTGCAATGTTGTCACTTACAAATGTAATGCTACTCGCATAGAATACTTAATAAGCGTTTTGTTTTTGTTGCCGTCACTCAGCTTCAAAGCGGGTTATGTTTAAATAAAGGCCGTTGCTTTTTATGTTAAGGTTGTGCACGACCCCATTTTGTACTATAGTTACAAGTGCGAAATCGTCGATTCCTATCTCTAATTAATTTCCTTTCTTGGAACGTCACGAATTAAATTATCGCATAATAGGGAGACGGCTTGAAATTCCAACGAATGGTTAACTTAGCACGCGTAAGTACGTTGTTTGGATCTGAGAAGTTTGAAAAATGTACGTGACATCACCCCGTGTAGTAGCGACACCTAAATCCATATACCTACCTCGATCAGGGAAGTTGACTACCTACTTATTTAGTACCAATCTCATAAATTTTAACGTACCTAATAGATTTACTTAACAAGTAGGTCCATAGCACACAGTTGTAGTGTTTAATCTGTGTCCATAGCCGCCGCTTGATCCATATGTGTATTAAGAACCTCCCGAAACTCCCCTGAGGCTTTTCCGCTCTTCAGCTTGGTCCTCCGAGGACAAGTTATGTACGTGTACTGTTCCTTCAGTGTTGCCAAAGAAAAGTTGGACCTTCAGTTCCTACTTCTGCAATTTGAACTTTGCGATTGGCGATTTTAACAACATATTTCGTTAACTTTCATTATTTTAGTGTAGTTAACAATATTCCACAATGCCAATTTGTATAATAAGTTGCATAACCACCTGAGATATAATGTTCTACATTTTAGAATAATTATTGTTACTAATAACTTACTAATTTGTTTGAAGATCCCTTTTTACATTAGCTACCTTACCGAATTACTAACAAGTGTCAACTGTTTTTTCAAACCGAAAAATGTGATTTTGTTTTTACTATTTTGAGCTTCGTGGTAAATGAATCACACCATTATAAATGCATTACGTTAAGTTTCTTTCCTACATATTCATTGCTGTGCAACTCACCTGGTTGCCTAGTATGACACACGCAAAAATACAAAATACTGAAATGTCACACAGAAATTTAAGGCGAACACAAATAAGTGAGACTCCGCCCCACTATTCGTCACCGAAAGTGACTTTAGAAGTCACTTAAATTAGACTTACACTCTTATCTTAACAAACACTTTTGATTTTTTTTGTTTTTCAAATAAACACTCGGCTTGCCTAAATTACAGGAAACTCAAAATTTACCGAATTCGTAAACACACGTGACGAATACCTTACATTACACTCGCACTTTTCTTAAATTCCCAAAATGATTAAACAAATAACTTCTGTAAATAAAGAAATTCCAGACAAGACAGATTTAAAAAAATCTAGAGCTTCGTTGTAATTGCAATATAGTATGGGTTTTTTGATAGTCGACGAACTCCCTTTAACTGATGACTTGAAGACCTTCTCTTAAGCGACTCGATAATCACAGCCTGTGTTTTCTAATCGGCGATAACACATCCTTATCTTGAAACTAATTAACTTTGCAGCAATAAGACAACTTCTTATCTAAGAACGGTGAAAGCACGAGGTAAACTTGTTCGTAATCCAAAAAATAGCAACTTAACGTTCACTTTTTAAACACTACGAATTGAATTTTTAATACCAGTATCACTCATCTAATTTTCTTCTAAAACGTGATTGCTGGCAAAACAAAGTTTTTGTAAAAAGCTTCAATAATAGCAAAACTGTATTGCAATACGTTCAAATACAGCTGCATCCAAAAAAAACTCGATTTGGGTCACCAAATAAACGCTTTACCAAAAAATGTAGTTCGCCCATTCAAAATCTCTTCCCTCTTTTCATTTCCGTTCCTCCTACGCACCAAAATAATGCGCGTCTTCGAAAAATCAATCTGTACCTGTTTACTAACCGACGATACCACGTCCTTACTTTGAAATTGAAACTAATTAACTTTGCTGCATTAAGAAAATTTCTTATCTACGACCGAACACAAACATGAGATAAATAAACTTTTACACATACGACGCAAACAATTTCCAGAAGTTATTTCAAGGGTTTTAAGCATATCTACATCCCAGTTCAAATCACCTGTTAACCATCCCAGACTGCCGATTCACAAGGTTAACCGTAAGAATTCCAGAGCTTCCACGTAGAAGAAAAGATTGTAAACAAATAGGTTAGTTGTACTTTTGCCAAATTCGATTGAAACTTTACAATCCATTGTAAAAAAGTAAAATGTTGATCTACATTACATTATTACGATTCAAATTTTAAATACGAGATCTTGAAGTAGTCGAGAATAATGTAAAATATTGTCTTTTTTATGTGTATTGTTATCAACATAAAACAGCATTAAAGTGTAATCTAAATTGTAAAACACCGTTTATACGTAATTTGTTCCTGTTCTATTATTTTCTTTAAACGTTTACTTATTAAGAAAATAAAAATAAAAATAAAAAAATATCTAAATTAAAACCATTAAGCTATAAAGAGAGATGTCCACCTTAAATTTAAAATTGTAACGTTATGACGTTTATCGTAAGATGTCGTTTGAGTTTAAACTATACCTATACTTGAAATTTGGTCTTGCTATCAACAATTCGAAAACGCATTCGTATTCGTACGCTTGGTGCGGATAAAGATTTGAAATTTATTTAATTGCGCTTATTCAAATCGAATTGTATTGAAATTCCTATTGAGGATAATTTTTAAAAAAAAGGTCATAGAACCGTAAGTTTTTCAATTTTTTATTTCAAATTTGTAATATTTCACAACATTTCAGTTTTTTTCGTACCGGATTTGGGCCCCTGAAACAGAAAAAGGGAGAATTAGTTTCTGGAAAAAAAAGAACCAGCTTCCGTATTTCAAAAATTCAGAAGTAGTTTGCATCAAATAGAAAAAAACAACTTACCAGCTTCAGCAATTTTCTTCAGGAGTATTCGTCGATAGCAAAATCATTATCTACCTGTCAAAATTTAATTGAATCTACAGACGACAGCAAGAAAAAGCAATCAAACACAAGGTCAGCTACAATTTCACCATTCATTCATCATTTATTTCATTTAAAATCTTCCATACATATTGTTCATATTGATACGTAATTTAGTTGAGAAGTACCTACCTGTTTTTTTTTGTGAATAGTCAAATGTAAAATACTTATAATTATTTCAACGACGGCATTCATATTTTGTTCCGATAGCGCTATCCCTTCTTTATTTAATTTTTTATTCGCCGTTTAATTTTTAATTGTTGTGTTCCTTTCATTAAAAAAAACCTAATTTGTAAAGGGTACCTACTTGATACTTTGTTTGTATTAAATATAAAAAAATTTCATTTTGTTTTTATTGATCGCTATTGGCGTGATAAAATATACAAATTTAAATCAATGTAACAAAGGGAGGTGCATCCTTAAACAACCCTTACAATTTCCTGATGACTGTAAACCAGGGGAGTACTAACAATCAGGTAACGTTTAAAAGATACCTAACAGTTTTTGTGATACAGTTTTCTGCGGTTGAAATTTCCCATTTAATGAAAAAGAAAATAAATTGTCACTCATTTGCACCGGAAGTACCGTGGCACTTTATAAAAGGTAATTTATTTACGGAATGAGTATATTTTGCAAACATTTTGAAAAAAACTTAACCGAAAAACCAATCGGTTTGCCCCGACAATCACTTAATCAAATTTATCTACACTTTGCGGAAATTAAAACAAAATGAGGGAGAATTAGGGAATTCCATTTAAAATAGTGAAGCGTTAGACATAATTCCGTTATAACCGGAAACTATATAAAATTTAAAATATTAACTGAAACGGGCTGATTGACTAAATCATATGTACAAATTTTCAGCAACCAATGACACCAGAAAGCAAATTAAATTAGCAGTTTGGCTGCCACCTTATCGGTACCTGAGAGAACACGCCTAAATTACTCGTTTAATTAATTCAATCTTCTAAGTATTGAGGAAATAATTAATTCCATTGCCTTGTTTTAAATTGTCTCTATCAGATATCCACTGTTCTAAATTTGAGGTCGAGTTATGGTATAAATTGAATGGTTTGTCTTTCCTAAATCGTATTCCTCCGATACATATACCGAAACATACACCTCAAAATGAACGCTTTGGTAAGTTGCATTTACCTAATGAAGCAATTAAAATAAATTTTATTGCAGATTTTCTTCACTTGCGTCGTAGCCTGCGCCAGCGCCAGCGGATATTACGGTGGCGCCCACTTGTACGCTACCCACGCCGTGCCAGCAGGACCTGCAACTCTTGTAGGCGCGTCTGGTGTTGTCGGTCCTCACGGAGCAGTAGGACCCGCCGGTGCCGTGAACGGACACGGAGCCGTTGGACCAAACGGAATCCCTAACGCAGTGCACGGTGGAATTATTGCCGGACATGGTCTTGGTCTTGGATACGCACACGCCGGAATCGCACACCTCGGTTACGCACACGCCGGAATTGCCCACCTCGGTTACGCTCACGCCCACGATGATGGACAGTGGCACGGTGAAGGTCTCTGGGAATCTCAGGATCATGCGGCGCGTTTCTACGGACACGGATGGTAAAACGTTAAGGCATGGGATACCGTTACCAATCTCCTGTATAAATATTTATTTATCTATAGATACTTAAAAACAATTACATCCGTCCATCCACAGCTTTTGATTTTTTCATTTGTGAACTATTAACTATCTTCTTCTGCAAATCACCACGTTAGTAAACCACGCTCGGGGATGGCGCCTAGATGTCACCGACCCCACATCATTTAGCCCCGTCCCTAAAGAATTGTTAATTATGCCGCCCGGTAGGTACAAGTACACTACTCATCTTTCTACAAGCGATCTTCTACGGGGTTTCATTTGCTGTCAGCCAGCTAGCCACCCGGCCAAAATGAGATTAAAAGCTACCTTTTTACAAATAAATTTGCAAAAAATGCTTTAAAAAGAGATAATTACAAAAAAAAGTTAAATCACTGTTTGCTGCTAAACAATGGGCTAGACGGTTCTAAAATTGTCGTTTAACTTTTGAGATAATAAACCGCATTTTGACACCTACGTGTAAAATAAATTCAGTTAATTGTAGTTGTTTTTGATGACACGTCATTAGCAACTATTTTCAGCTTCAGAAGGTACAGCTTTGGCAAAAATGTTTAAAATCCAAAAATAATAGCTCACAAAACCCTTGTGAAAATAAAACGTATTTTTTAAAAACCGAAATAGCCCACTATAAAATAAAGGCAATAAAAAAAAATACGAATTACCGAAACGGATTTTGATTCTTTTAAATATCTAGTTTATTTACTAAGACATGGGGGGTGGTAAGCTTTCAAATTGCCACCCTGTATACAAAAGTTGCCCAAAAATAAGTTACAACCAACAACTTTTTTTAAATCAACAATTTTCAATTTCAGAATGACCCTTATATTCTTAATAAAACAGAAACAAAAAATATTTCTTGAACATTATTGATAGATAGGTAATCTGCCGTTTTCAAAATAAATAAACCGATACAACGAAATATCGAAGGATCCTCAGTATTACAATAACTTTTAACGATAATTTATTTTAATGTTACAAAATACATCAAATTCATGTCTTGGCCATTGAGATAATGCTCTTAATCTTGTTTTGATCAAAATCCATGTGGTCGCCAAAAATAGATCAAATTCATGTTTTGATCATTGAGATAATGCTCTTGGTCTTTTTCCCAACGTTCTTGGTGCATAAATAACGATTTTGACATGTTTTGATCAAAATTCATGTGGTCGCCAAAAATAGATCAAATTCATGTTTTGGTCATTGAGATGATGCTCTTAGTCTTTTTCCCAACGATGTTGGTGCATAAATAACGATTTTGACATGTTTTGATCAAAATCCATGTGGTCGCCAGAAATGCATCAAATTTATGTCTTGAGCATTGAGATAATGCCCCTAGTCTTTTTCTCGACGATCTTGGTGCATAAATAACGATTTTGATTATTTTGATCAAAACCCATATGGCAATAATTTAACATTTTTGAATCACACACATGCGGTTATCAAATGTGCACGTGATGTACTCTTGCTGCATCAAGATAATGCGTTTGAAACCTTTTAAAACTCTAAATTCATGTATAAAGTGTAATTTTTGCTACATTTTGCTCTAAAACTTTCGACCTATACCACAGAGAAGAGTTATATTAAAGTATTACACATCTAAGAGTCATAGGGAATAATCTAGCGGAAGTCCCAACCCGATACATGACCTAGGGAATGAAATATGTTGATTTCTATTATATTGAGCCCGTAGTTTTTCCTGTTCCCGATTCACTCGAAGTCCTATAACTTTTGTTCCTATTGAACCAGCTTCCTGAAAATCAATAGCGTCCGTCCTTAATGTCCAAAGAACCCGTACACCAAATTTCAACTCAATCGGCCACTTTTAAAAAGAGTTAGAGCGCACACGGACGGACGGACGACAATACAAAACTATAAAGGATCTGAGGATCCTTAATAATTATACAGTATCGGGTAAAAAAGTTATTGGATATAACTTCATTTTTTTAAATGGTATGCCCTGTATATTTTAATCTAAAAACAGCATATTAAATTCTTTTTTTTTAATATAACACTGAAAAAATTCAATATCGATTCAAAAAGGTTCAAAAAAGATTTCTTATAAATTCAAAAATTAGTTTGTAGTAATTTCTAATTTTTTCAGTGTCAGAAAAAAGGGCGATAGTTCGTAGAAAACAGTTCCTTTTGTTGAGACCTTTAATTAGAATGCCATGAATGGTAAAACGTGTGCCCCCCCTTTCCATTTTCAAAAGTTTTACTTGCCAGGTTTCCACTAAAGGCATGTGCATGTAAAATCTGAGACCAATTGGTTGTCGCATGTAAAACTGCAGGACCGTTCCCCTAAAAGTAGTTCAACAAGGCAAAAGTGGGTTCTGATCGACGGAGAACACGCAAAACAATAGCACCAGCGCTAAAAAACGCAAAAAAATCTTTGCCGATCTACCTTCCATTGCATTGCTGGTTAGATTGTAGAGCATATGTGGTCTGGTAAGATAGAATAAGATGCAAGACGCAAGTTGTCTTCCGTGTTGAAGAATTGATGAAACAACTTACACCGGAGAGCCTTTATCTTTTCAATTTCCAGATATCAAAATTAAAACCTCTCTTTCCTAATTTTTACGCTTGTTGTTTTGTCATATTTCTTCTAATTAACCGAATTATCTTTTATCTCTATAGAAAGTGTCATATTACCATTACAGTAAATATCGTAAATTGCCCCATTGACAAAACCAAATACGTTGGGTGTTTGTTGAACTGTATTTCGGTTGAAATTGATTTATGTCTTAAAACGTAGAGAAAAATTTAAATGAAACTCTCAAGTGAGAGTGAAGGAACTACGTACGTTTTTCGAAACTAGATTTAAGAGAACGCATTTCGTAACTAGGCGCTCCCCGACTAACTAGCGCCATTTCAGATCGAGGGGACCGCTTACCGGCACGCTAATGAATGTACGATTTTCTATTTTTACGGTTAGTTACACCCCCTTTAAAAGTAGATGGCAGCATCTCTTGAGCGAAATTAGCATTGCCAGTGTATCCTACTTGTTTGCAACTCATATTGTATTTCCTCTATGGTGTAGGTTAGAATAGGTAGTTTGATATCCATTTTTTTCTATTGCTAGTAAAATGTTGAGGTTAAAAATCCAAAATTTGCCATTGCTCTTCAATTTTTTTTACAGGATCCCCGGCGGAATGGAACTTGGGGCGTTATCTCGGTTTATGGGAACTCTCTAAACGGGGGGAAGTCAATGACGGTCTCAACAAAGTTTCATATCTGAGGGTTTCTCACGATAGTGAACAAAAAATTGGTGCTTGAATATGCGACAAAAATTCCGACTGCAATTCTCGGTCAGACAAGAAAAATTGGAAAAATTTCAAGAACTAGACATATTTCAAATTAGGCAGCTATACAGGGTGTCCCTAAAAGGTCTGTACAACGCACTACCAGGGGTTCTTGGTATCAAAATAGGACGATTTAACCCAACTTACCTCTATCCAAAAGTGCTTCAGTAAGGCGCTATCTACCGCCAAAGATTAAAAAAAAAATCGTTATTTTTATTTTATCGGAAAATGGTTTTGCCGATTAAAATGAAATTCGGGATGTGAATGTCTAATGTAAAAAGGGTCTTTGTGATATCATCGTTTTGATTATAGTTGCTATGTAGGTGGTAAAATACTGACCATCCACATCTAAAGAGGTCTAAAACTTTTTAACTAGTATTTTGACGGTTCTGAATTTTTAGACACTGATAGACAGTTTACTTGCAAGCATTTTTTGTCTCTTGATGAATATCGCTATCTGTGATGGTTTACGAAAAAAAAATTTTTGACATGATGAATGGCCTGCACCATACATGCGGATTGTTCCTCAAAAACCATAAGTGCAAGCAAGAAGTGAAACCGTAGTGCATGTAACGTAGAATAAACGAACACAACAGAGTAAATCAATGTAATGTATTAATTTAAACTACTAAATAAATAAATAAAAAATAAAACTGATTTTTTGAGGAACAATCGCATGTATGGTGCATGCCATTCATCATGCCTAAATTTTTTTTTTCGTAAACCATCACAGATAGCGACATTCAGCAAGAGACAAAAAATGCTTGCAAGTAAACTGTCTATCAGTGTCTAAAAATTCAGAACCGTCAAAATAGTAGTTAAAAAGTTTTAGACCTCTTCAGATGTGGATGGTCAGTATTTTACCACCTACATAGCAACTACAATCAAAACGATGATATCCCAAAGACCCTTCTTACATTAGACATTCACATCCCGAATTTCATTTTAATCGGCAAAACCATTTTCCGATAAAATAAAAATAACGATTTTTTTTTTAAATCTTTGGCGGTAGATAGCGCCTTACTGAAGCACTTTTGGATAGAGGTAAGTTGGGTTAAATCGTCCTATTTTGATACCAAGAACCCCTGGTAGTTTGGTCGGCATCCTCAAGAAATATGTAGAGTTAATTTTGAAATCGTTTCCAGCAACAAATTATAGAACAACTGTCTATTATTAAACCTGCCTGTGTTATACAATTTTTTCAACAATTAAGTATGTGTCCATGTATCCTGGCGGTTCCTTCGTGATGATTAAAAATTGAAACTTTCTTCAAAGACAACTTCGAAGACTGTTGTCGATTGGCACCTTTGAGGACATGCCTACGCCGACAACGACAATGATGTCGTTATAAGGAATTAATGAATCTAGCATAACCTAGAGGTCAAAACTTGAAAGTAGTAGTATAATGTGTCACTCGAGTCTTTAATAAATTCTCCAATTAACTGATTATAAGGTTTTATTTGGCGAAAAGGTGAAGGCGTCACACATTTTATGCACATGTCGCTAATTAGTCTAATGAGCACCGATTGTTTGTGTCACGCCTTCAACGAAGCTTACGACCATGACTGTACCACGCGCATGCAAAGTCTCTGCGAAGTATATCATATTATAAGGGTCACTTATAAACATGTAACGCTCAGGGGGTTTCTTACAATCTCCATCAGGATTTAAACCCGGACACGTTTGTGGTCACAGATTAGAAATCGACCGTAAAAGTCGATATTCCAACTAAGTCACGCAGTTTGGTAATTGAGTTTTGT